TTTTTAATGTATACTTCATGTTGAAATTTCTTAGACATATTCAAGAAAGTAAAAAACAGATTTGGGCTAGTGATAACTAGTTTCTAAAATGTTGTTTATTCGCAATAAATGACGTAAGTCGTTTACTTAAGTTTATGTAAATGGTTAGTTTGTGCTCAGGAAGTCGCAGAGATTGCTGCTGTTCTATTTATTGTATAGAAAGCATGGCCAGATTCACCTTTAAAATTCCTGGAAGCTCTTCAGTGGACCTTGAGCCAACACAATATGCCTTTCGTCATCAAAAGAGTATTATACTTATGTCATAATGAGAACAATAATTTACATGCTTGGTATAATACATGCCCAAGAGACATTTTATTTTATGGCCCTATTCTTTGTCTTGCCATAATGGGGATATTGTGAATCATAAATTTGTGTAATATTGATATTTCTTAAAGCAATAGATGTAACGGTAAACAAAACCATATAAAAACACAAAAAGATCTTCTACAAATAAAAAGGAGGCAAACAGCCTAGTTTTAAAATGGGCGAGGGACTTCAATGACACTTCATAGAGGAAGACCTTCCAATGGTGAAGTGTGAAATGGAAATGAGAATGCACTATCAGAACGGCGGCCGAATGGCAGGGCCACAGGTCATCAAGGGTGTAGCCCGGAACGCGCACGTGGCCGGGGGGGCGGGGCGGGGCGTTCCTAAATCGCCCTGGTAACACTGATCACCACGCAGCGCATGCGCTCTTTGTGACCCGGAGAGTGCACACAGGTGTGCCCCGGAAGACAAGCGTGTTCCGTCCGCTTCAGTCACGACATCCCAGGGTTCCACACAACCGCACGCCCCGGCCGAGCGGCGCCGGCACCGCCACCCACCCTGCCGGCGGCGAGTCCCGAGCGGCGCTGGCGCGGCGGGCGCGCGTCACGGACCCCGCCCAGAGCCCGGCGGGTCGGCGGGCAACGCCGCGGCGCGGGGGCAAGGCCGGGCCACCCCGCCTCCGCGGCCAAAGGCGGCCCCGCCGTGGGCACGCGGCGATCCCGCGTCTGTCCCACGTGAGGATCCGGGGCCGCACGGACGCTCGTGGCGCGCGCCGCACACGTGCGCATCCGGGCACCGGCCGCGCTCCTCGGACCCGTGCGCTTCTGCGGCGCGCGTGCTCCCCGGACGGTGCCGGTGTGATTGACAGGGGAAAGGCTTTCTCAGAATAGGAACCCGCGAAACGCCACGTCACGCGGAAGCGCAGTGTTGGAGGGGGAGGGGCGTTTCTCAAAGCAGATCCCGGGCAGCCCCGGGGCCGCGCGGCCACCGCGGGACGTGCGAGGCGCCCCCTGGCGGCGCCCCCCGGAGCTGCAGCGCGGCTGCGTCTTCCCCGGAGCCCAGGACCCGAGAGGACCCGAGGACCCGAGAGGACCCGAGGACCCGAGGACCCGAGAGGACCCGAGGACCCGAGGGGACCCGAGGGGACCCGAGAGGACCCGAGGACCCGAGGGGACCCGAGAGGACCCGAGAGGACCCGAGGACCCGAGAGGACCCGAGAGGACCCGAGGACCCGAGAGGACCCGAGGACCCGAGGGGACCCGAGAGGACCCGAGGACACCCGAGAGGACCCGAGGGGACCCGAGAGGACCCGAGGGGACCCGAGAGGACTCGAGGGGACCCGAGGACCCGAGGACCCGAGGACCCGAGGACCCGAGGACCCGAGGACCCGAGGACCCGGCGCCGAGCCCGAAGCACGCCGCGCGCCTGGCTGGAGCTGTTCAGCCATCGCCGCCGCGTGCGCCTGGCTTTGGGCAGCGATCCATGCCCTGCCCTCTTAGGACCGAGAGCCAGCCTTGCGGCGGCGCTCCCTACACTGACTCCGTTTCCCCTCTCTTCCTGCGCGGCCCTCCCGGCTGAGGACGGACCGGCGCGCACTGCGCATGCCCCCTGCGGGTCCGCGGGGCAGGGAGCAAAGCCCGGGCGTCTCTGAAGACTCTGCACCTTGCATTTCGCTTTCACACTTATCGCCCAGAAAGCCTGCTTTGATTTCCCCCCAACCTCCCAGCGCATTTACATTTTAAAAACAAAACCTCGGCGGGGCGCGGTGGCTCACGCCTGTAGTCCCAGCTACTCGGGAGCCTGAGGCAGAAGAATTGCTTGAACCCGGGACGCGGAGGTTGCAGTGAGCCGAGATGGCGCCACTGCGCTCCAGCCTGGCGACAGAGGGACTCCGTTATGAAAAAAAAAAAAAATCCCGTTCCAGAAAGAGGGGGAAGGACTTTCCAAGGAAAAATGTTCAGATCTATCAAGCTGACCTACTCAGTCTAATAAATGAAGCAAACTATTCCAAAGGGCAGAGGGCATCATGTCTCATTTATTCATGATAATAGCACATTGAAATACGCAAGAAAGGAGAAGAATAAAGAGCACAGGATGTACAAACAGTATTGCATTTTTGTTGTTGTTGTTCACTGATTGAATTGTAGAAAAACAGCAACAAAGACGTCCTGGACAGTTCTTGTTTACTGATATTTTACAACATCACTCAAGTAACAGTCTACTTCTATTACAAACAACTTGTATTTTTACTCATGCTCAAAAAATAAATAATATGGTAAGGAGTACAAAACGTTCCCCAAATAGCCAAACAGCAAATGTCTGCTGAGCTCCTACTCAGGCAGACGGCATACTGATTATCACTGGAACATTGGAGTCAACTGCCTGGCCTTTAACCCCTGTCCTCAGCCTACTAGCTGTGTGATCTTGGGGGAAGTGACTGAACATCTCTGTGCTTTTTTTTCTATATGCAAAATGGAAAAAATGTTGTGAGAGTTAAAATGAGTCGATCAGTGTAAAGCCTTCTTCTTGGCTCTGGCCCCTCTTATATTATCAACGTCTGATGATTATTTTTACTTATGTTCCTATTACTGTGTTAAGAAGGGAGGCACAGAAGAATTGTTTGTATCTGCAGCACATTTGGGCATGGTGGCCCATGCCTGTAATCTCAGCATTTTGGGAGGCTAAGGCGGGAGGATCACTTGAGGTCAGGAGTTCCAGACCAGCCTGGCCAACATGGTGAAACCCCATCTCTACTTAAAATTCAAAAATTAGTGAGGCGTGGTGGTGCATGCCCGTAATCCCAGCTACTCAGAGGCTGAGGCAGGAGAATCACTTGAACGCAGTAGGCGGAGGTTGCAGTGAGCCGAGATGACGCCACTGCACTCCAGCCTAGGCAACAGCCAGACTCAACTCACTCTTTGTGGAGCTTAGAGCTCAAACAGAATAGAAGTATTGTTCCTTCATTGCTTATAGAAATATATGCAGACGACATATTTCTATAAGCAATGAAGGAACAATAAATCATCATCTAATTGATATTTATTTATTTATTATACTTTAAGTTCTGGGGTACATGTGCAGAACATGCAGGTTTGTTACATAGGTATACACGTGCCATGGTGGTTTGCTGCATCCATCGCCCCGTCATCTACATTAGGTATTTCTCCTAATGCTATCCCTCCCCAATTCCCCCACCCCCTGCTATTCCTCCCCTAGCCCCCCAACCCCAAGGCCCCAGTGTGTGATTTTCCTCTCCCTGTGTCCGAGTGTTCTCATTCTAAGTGCTCAGATTTTGTTACAGAAAATTAGAGATTAGGGCAGAGTATGACAAAGGCTCATATTCCCCTGAAGCGTAAAGAAGTGGTAAAGGTGTTGGAGGTGGAAGAATTCAGGAGTGTCAGAGTCTTCATGAAAGAGGGGACCTTAGTGCGGCATGCGCACCTAAGTAAGAGAGACGTGCTGGGCAGAGGAGGATGAGAACGCCGGAAAGAGTCCTGGACAGCGGGAAGCCGGGCGAGTTCAGCACCTCACAGAGACAGGAAGCGGGCAATGCCAGGGAGGTGACAGCTCCACTGTTAAAAAACAATATTGCCATCAACAACTGCACTCTATTCCTCTTCATGCCTATCCAGAAAAAAGGAGGAGCACACCAGAGGAATACAAGCCCATGCCACCATGCCCAGCTAATTGTTTTGTATTTTTTTGTAGAGACAGGTATTTTGCACATTGCCCAGGCTGGTCTCAAACTCCTGGGCTCAAGTGATCTGCCTGCCTCGGCCTTTCAAAGTGCTGGAGTTACCGGCGTGGGCCACTGTGCCTGGCATATCAAAGCTATCTGACAATATTAAAGAAACAGTTATCACCCTTACATAATTCTATGGAGAGCAGTTATAAATATAAAATATTTTCTAAGAACGTTTTGGGGGTGATCGAAATGTAAAATTCCCAGTGGATTCACTACGCTGTTGAGATTGCAATACTGACATGGTGTAAGACCGACTTTCTGAATGATTATGACAAACGAAGGCGTAAATGCCATTTTCGGTCTTTGGAAGAGGAAAACACATGGAATGAAGCGCACCTCCTGCTTCCCGCAAACGGAACGTCTCTGGCTTCTTGCCCCAGGGTCTTCAGGCTCCTACCCCACCGTTCCTTTCCACCTCTACTGTTTATTGGTATGTGTTACTCTCTCTTTTCCGTAAGAAAGGCGTAAATCTGGGGTGTTTTTTTCCAGATATTCCCCCCGAAAGCCACCTTTCCAAGCACAGAACCCCAGTGCCTAGGAGTTCAGCCGACCCGGCAGTAGGAGCGCGCTGGAAGGGCGGCCTGCGGAGCTCAGGAGCGCGGGAGGCACCTGCGCGGGGTGGAAACGGCCGGAGGAGGCGGACCGCGGCCGGCTCTCAGGGGGCGGCCCCGGAGACCCTCGATCCCAGGCTCCCCTCCCCCTCGGAGCTCCGCCCCCTTCCCGGCCTCAAACTCCGAGTCCATTCAAACCGCGCCTTCCTCGCCCTGCGCGATCTCAGGCGTGTAATTGGGGAAACTCCTCCCCGCGGGGACCGCCTCCGAGGCGCTGCCAGAGGACGGCCGCCGGCTGCCCCCGCCTCCCAGCGCGGACACGGCACCGCGCGCGCAGCCCCGGCCCCGGCAGCCGCGCCAGGGGGTCCCCGCGCCCCGCGCTCCAGCTACCCGGCTGCGCGCACCGGCGCCAGCGCGCGGGCGGAGGAGGGAGGCGCGCCGCGGTGTCCGGCGTCCCGGGTGCGTCCCGGGTGCGTCCCGGGGGCGCGGCCAGCGCCGGAGTAGAACCTGTCCCGCCCGCCGCGCCCGGCAGCCGCCTCGCAGGCGGGGGAAGGGGCCGGCGGGGACCGGGTCGGCGCGGGAGGAACCGCGCCCCGAGCTCCGGCGCACCATGGCCCCGAGGCTGCTGCTGCTCCTCTGCCTGCTCTCGGGCTCGCACGCGCGGTAAGTGAGCGGCGCGGGGGCCGCATCCCCGGAGGCCCCAAGCTGGGCAGGGGTGGGGGGCGCGCCCCGTCGGGGCGGGGAGGGGACGGGAGGTCGGCCCGCGCCTCACCTGTCCGGGCTCCCCGGACACGGCCGTCTGCGTTCTCCTCTGCAGCCGGAGTGTGGGGGCTCGGATGGGCTGTCTCCTGACGCTTTTAGGATCTAATGGTTTTAAACACCAGGATCAGCGGGCAGGGGCCATTTCTGGCTCCTTACCTACCCCTCCTTCCCGCCGCGGTTGTTTCACGGGGACACACACACACACACACACACACTTTGGCTGACATTCCGTCATTTCCATCACTCTGAAATTTCCAAGGACCCGGGACCCGTGGTTCCTAGCTGCCCAGTTTAGACCAGGTGGGAAAGAGCTAATGAATTGGAGGCAGGTGCGGGGATTGGGACCAGGTGGGCGGCAGAAGGCCCTGCTTGTCTGAGAGGACTCTCCTCCCAGGTCCTGCAAACACACACCTTCCAGATGAGCCACTTTCACACACGGGGACACACGCGCTGCCACCCCCATAAAGCACGCATGTTGAGATGGATAATCAGGCTTCTGCCTGGTAATGTGAGAAATTATCTCCCCATAAATTCCGCAGCCTTCCTCCCAGAACACCAGCCGGCTAATGGGAGCTTAGAATCACTCCGAAGAGATGAGGAGGGCGCATGAGGATAGGAGGACAGTGGGTCCCGAAGGGTTAACCCCTGTTGCTGTCAACACAGCTGGAGGTTCTGGGTTTAGTTTCTTTCGTTCTCTCTGACGAGATCTCTGGCTAGAGCTTGCAGACTGCCCTGTGATTGGAAAATCGGACCAGTGTGTGGCCCCTCCTTCTTTCCCCACCCTAAGAAGCTCAGCGTGCCTGCATACCCCAAACCCTCTTGTTTTGACGCTTCTCTGTTTCCTGGGTCTGGGAGCTGGAGAAACAGAGGGCATCCTTGCGGGCACAGCCTGGCCACCATCAGGAGGCAATGCCAGGACACCTTGCCTTTCCATTCAAATTTATGAACTACCAAGGGGCTAGGAAGACACATGAATAAGTCCTACCAAACACGAGGGGACCCCCAGTTCTCACTCCTGAGCTGCGCAGAGGTGCTTACCCTGAGGAAGGAAGCCCAGACCCTCCCCTTTCCACTCTCCTCTTTGCCGAGTTGAATGTGGAAGCCAACCTGTGACTCACAGGCAACTCTTTCAACGAGGCAGAGCACTCCTTGGGCCTTTCAGCTGAAGTTTCTTTCTGTGTCAGGAGACAGCTGGTGAAAAAATGGAAATATGCTTTCTGAGGTTGCCTCTTCCTGATTGTATCTCTGTCTAGAGGTGGAGAGGGAGGCAGACAGCACTGGGCGTAACGCTGAGGCCGGCAGTCACGTCTCTGCCACCTTTCTGTTGCCACCAACTCAAACGAGTGACCAGCTGTTCAGGGTTAGGTAATCAGCTGTTCAGATCTCTGAAATCTTAACATTCTAGAAGAAACCCTGCCTACTGTCCTCACTGCTGCATGTGCTTAGTAGAAAGATACCTTAGCCTCTGCCTTGAAACAGTCTGGTTTCTGGACATTCTCAAATATACAGAAAATCTCTTGGGATTCTTCATCTTTCCATTCTGCTAAGACAGACATAATGATTTTCATATGTTCTCTATTTGGGTTGGTTCCCTGGTTTCATAATAGGGCTTGCATATCAGTTTAAAAAATCCAAATTTTATTCTAACTTTATTTCTGTATGCCTCTTCTTTGAGAGTGTCTTTGTACTTTCAATGGGTTTTACAGACGTGAAATAATCTGATGTCCAGTGTCATCTTTCAAAACTGTTACGAATTCAGAGAGATTCTCATTTGCAGCCTGAGGGCCTTCCCGCTGTGGAAGTTCCTTGGATAAGGTCTGGCGGCTGTGCTTTGTGGTGATGGTTCAGGAGCTCCACAGAGGTGGGGATGCCTTAACTGATTTCTGAGGTTTAGGAACTCCTTTTAATGTTTAAAAATACTGCAGACTTTTTCTCTGTCCTCTGCTTTAAGTGAAGGTGTAAGACATGAAAATAACATCTGAGGGTTGAGTTGCTGTTTGACAATGACAATATATCTCTGATTTATTTTTAAGAGAAAGCTAATTGCAGTAATGGTGTTTAGGGTCCGACAATGCAAGTCACAGTGCTCATAGAAATTACATGTAACTCACTTAGAATTCAGGGAAAAGAGAATATCTCTATATTACCCACGTTCTAATGGGTCCCCTGAGATGAGAGTTCGTTTTCGTCAAAGCAGGAATTTTCCCCTGGGCCTGGCGGTATGCACTAGCACTGTGAGGGTTCTGCTTCATTTTCAGGATTTGAGGGAGAAGGGCGCTCACAGCCCAGGGACCCAGAGCATCTCGGCCTCACTCGCCCACTGCCCGCCCAGCCAGGCCACACAGCTGCGGTCCTGATATGCCTCCCGAAGGGGTGGGAGAGAACGCGCCTGCTTTCTTTTTCCTGGTCGACTTCGCTGCCACCTGTCCCGGCCTTTAAGAAGGAAGCTCTTGCAATTTCAGGAAAACCCTCTCATCACCACTAGAGGGAGAATTAGGCTTATTAGAATACCTGTTTTTGAAGTAGCTGGAAGTAATTTTACAAAACAAAGGCTGCGTATATAGAGAACGCTGAAAAGCTGATGACTGTGCTTGGTTTGCACGTATGTGATTATCGGGGCCGTAGACGGTAACAGCGTGGAGACTGTGGCCTGGCTCTGAGCGGGTCAGAGAGAGAGGGGAAGAGAAGGGGAGGGGAGAGGGAAAGGGGGGGACAGCAGAGGGAGGGAGGAAGGCACCGGGGCGGAGTCACCAACTGTCCTGAGCATGGAGAGCCTGATTGTGCCCAGATGAGATGCTGGCTTCTCCCCATTGCCCCAGGTACCCCTGCGCCGTCCCGTGGGCAGTGCTTGATTCCCAGCTATCTAAATGCTTCAACCTGCTCTTTAAGTTTTCAGAAATGTTTGCGGGATGATAAATTAACATTTCTGGTAATACTCCTGATGACATAAAATATTTTATTTTTTAAATTTATTATTATTATTGGAGATGGGGTCTCACTGTGCTGCCCAGGCTGGAGTGCCGTGGCACCATCTCAGCTCACTGCAACCTTTGCCTCCTGGGTTCTCCTGCCTCATTCTTCTGCCTTAGCCCCCCAAGTAGCCAGGACTACAGGCAGGTACCACCACGCCTGGCTAATTTTTTGTATTTTTAGTAGAGATGGGGTTTCACCATGCTGGCCAGGCTGGTCTTGAACTCCTGACCTCAGGTGATCCACCTGCCTCAGCCTCCCAAAGCGTTGGGATTACAGGAGTAAGCCACCATGCCCGGCTGGATGACATAAAATATTTTAGAGTAACATTTAAAATCTTGTAGTATGAGTTGTAAATGTTCACTTTTATCAATAATGAAATGCAGCATATTCCTTACTGAATATGTGTCCCACATTTAAAAATTCTATTGATCGTGAATATTCAATGTGCATAAAAACAGCAATCTATCATTTCTATGGATGATTTAATTTAACCTTCTAACCAATAGGTACTAAAGAAATAGAATTACAGTTTAAGATCAGCTTAGGAAAAAGGTAAGTGGGAAGGTATTCTGTGAGACAGATGCCGTATACTCATTGTCGTGATCTCCGGTTTATTGTCTATCCAGATTTAGACCTTCTGGCCAGCCCTCTAGTCTATGTTATGGCTAGTTAACACAGTTTAAAAGACTCGTGTTTATATTACATAAGTATTCATGTGCATGTATATGAAGACCTAAATTAAGTGGAAAGAACGTGAAAGCTTTTATTCTTTTAATTCTTGTTAATTATCGATAATAAAAACAATTCTCAGAATTCAGTTCAAGAAACTTACATCCCGGAGCGCGCGTGTCCGGACGTGACACTGGCGTCTGGTTCCCGTCTGGGAAGCTAAACAGAAAGGGGCTCATTTCCAGCCAGGACAAATCTGCCTCCGTGCCATTTTCAATTCTTTTTATTATTCTCTTCTGTGAAGAAAAAGTCATTAAGGCATGCACACTGACAAACTCGAAAGGAAAAGGTTGGTTTGCTTCACATGTTTCCTTGCTGGGGTCCGTGGTAGTCTGCCTGGCAATGCTGCTTTAAGGCAGAAAGAGACAGCTCTCCAATCCCAAATAACTGTGGTGGTGAGATGGCCTCACTCATTGCGAAAACCAGCTTGTCCAGTCAAGTGTGTGTCAATTATAAACCAAAATTGTTTCAAAAACCCAAAACTGCAGAACCAAAACAAAGGAAACGCAGCCGGTCATCCTGCGGCCTCTCCTTTCAGGCACTCCTGTTGGTGAGTGTCACCCAGGAGAGGAGGTTGTGCAGCTCCTCCCCGCACAAAGCAAGCTCAGAGATGGCCAGGCGTCTACTGGGACTCATTTACTGAGAAGCCAGAATGTTGAAGTCCTGTTAGAAAGCTGAGCTCTTCATGTCAGTGTTAGCCTGCCGTGCAGGAGATGAATCCGTTTGTGTTGACCGAGGCGAGGCGTGTCAGATGGCCTCCGCCAGCCACCAGCGGACGTCTCTGCCCTGGCCTCCCACCTGCCGGCAAAGCAGACCCTCTCATAATGCCCGAGAGCCCAGACCCCCGTTCCCGCCTCCAAGCACAGAGTCAGACTCATCTATTTTGAATGAGTTCACTTGGCAAAAGCTAATCTCACCTTCAACTAAAATGAGGTCTTGGGGATAAGGGGTGGAAGCAACATGACACAGTCGCCATATGGAAAACCACTGGGAGGTTTGTGCCTTGACCTTCAGAGGCTCTCGGGGTGTGTCCACGTGTGGCGTGGGCTTCAGAGGCTCTCGGGGTGCGTCCACGTGTGGCGTGGGCTTCAGAGGCTCTCGGGGTGCGTCCGCGTGTGGCGTGGGCTTCAGAGGCTTTCATGATGTGTGCAGGAGGGCTATTGGCCCTCTGATATTGTTTACCTGTCATGTTGTCTGCAGTTTAACTGGGATGGGGGATGGTCTTCTGGCATTTAATAAAAACATACCATGTTAACAGTAGTAGCATTCTTCTTATGGAATTATTCCTGTTTTGTGTTTCTTTTTTAAACATTTTTTCGCAGTTTCCTGTGTAGTTGGGCTGTGGGTACGGAAGGCTTTCCACCCATTTCGTGGTAGCTGGATAGGACCAACTTAAGGCTCTTCCTAGAGCTGTGGCTGCAACTTACGTGCCGCATTTTGTGCTGTCACTGCAGGTCCAGGAAGGTGGAAGAGGATGAATATGAAGATTCATCATCAAACCAAAAGTGGGTCTTGGCCCCAAAATCCCAAGACACCGACGTGACTCTGATTCTCAACAAGTTGCTAAGAGAATATGATAAGAAGCTGAGGCCGGATATTGGAAGTGAGTGTTGTTTCTTGTTACTCCACTAGAAAAATACGCTGTAATGATATGTTTCAACATTTTTATTTTTGAGTAATTGTAAATGCTTAGAATATTGCAAAGATAGTGCACAACGGTCTCCTGTACTTGGTACACAGTTGGTAACTGTAGTGTGATACCAAACCAGGAAATTAACATTGGTGCCACCCAGGAGCACAGGGGTGTGTCATTTTATCCCATGGAGCTTACGTGACGACCCCTGCAGTCAACACACAGAACGCCCTCATCAACCCAAAGTGGATCTTGTGTCCCCTCTTGCTGTCCCTTTACGGTCACATCTGCCTTCTTCGCCCCAGATTTCTAACCGTTGTCAGTCTCTAATTTGTTTTTCATTTCTGGTGGTTTCTTTTTTTTTTTTTTTTTGGTCATTTTGAGACTGTTACGTATATGGAATCACTGATCTTTTGAGACTGGCTCGTCTTTATTCAGCAAAATGATTTTGAGATTCAAGTTGCTAGATGTGTCAGTAGTTCTCTTACTGCCGCATAGGTGTTCATGGTATACGTTTTTGTCTGTCGCAAACAAAATGACTAAGCACATTTGTATACAGGGTTCTGCGTGGGCATAAGATTGTATTTTCTGGGATAAATGCCCAGGAGTGTGATTGCCGGGTTTTGTATGATGGATGTATGTTTAATTGCTTAAGGAACCATTAAACCAAAGTGGCTACACTATTCTTTGTTTCCACCAGCAATATCTGAGAGATTCCGTTTCTTTGTGCTCTCACCAGCAATAGGTATTTTCACTACTTTTTATTTTAGCTGCACTAATAGATGTGTATTTAATAGGTTCATATCTCGTTGTCTTAATTTGCATTTCCCTAATTTTTAGTGATACTGAACTCCTCTTTTATTTATTTATTTATTTACCATCAGTGTGTCTTTCCCATTGAATTGTCTCTTCATGTTATTTGCCCTTTTAAAAATTGGATTATTTGGTCTTATTTCTATTTTTTTTACTGCTGAATGTTGAGCGTTCTCTATGTATTCTAGGTGTGATCCTTTCTGCCAAATCTTAGATTGCTTTTCATCTTTTCAATGGCATTTTTCACAGAGGAAAAATTTTCAATACTGATGAAATCCAATTGATTGATTTTTCTTTTATGGAGCATGCTTTTAGAGTATTGTCTAAGAATTCTTCATGAAGCCCTAGATCTTGAAGATTTTCTCCTTTGTGTTCTTCTGAAAGTTTTATAATTTCATCGTTTACATTTTATCTGTTTTAATTTTTATATAAAATCAAGATGTAAGACTTAAATCTAATTTCTTTTCCCCCACCCTCCATGGATGCCCAGTTACTCCGGCACCGTTTGTTGGACGGACCATCCTTCCTTGACTGAATTGCTTTTATGAAGTTGTCAAAAATCAGCTGACTTGACTGGTGTGGGTTATTTCTGGTTCTGCTTCGCTCTGTTTTGTCTGTGTGTCTGTCACTCTGTCAATACCCACAGTTTTTATTGCCGTAACTGTATAATAAGTCTTCAAATTGGATCAACTAATTCAACCTCTTTATTCCTCCTTTTCAACATTAACTCATCTTAATTTCTTGTAGTTCATTTGCTTTTCTATATACATTTTAGAATAATTTTGTCTGTAACTACAGAAAAATCCCGCTGGGATTTGGTAGGAGTTTAAGTGTCTACATCAATCTGGAAAGAGCTGGCATCTTGACTGTGCTGCCTCTTCCAATCCGTGCCTATAATAGGTCTCTTCATTATTTAGATCTTCTTTACATTCTCATGTCAGTGGTTTCTAGTTTTCAAGGACATGTCCTGAATGTATTTTGTTAGATTTATGACAACGTATTTTATTTTTTGGAGTGATTGTCAATGGTACAGTATTTTTGCATTTCATTTTGCCTGTGTTAATTGCTAGTACACATAAATACAATTGATTTTGTTATGTCGATGTGTTATCTGACGTGCCGAACGTATTAGTTATAGAAGTTTGGGTTTTTTGTTTTTTGTTTTTGTAGGTTCTTTGGCATTTTCTATGTATACCATCATGTCATCTGCAAATAAGGAGAGTGTTCATTCCTGCTGTCCAGTCTGCGTATCTTTTGTTGACTGTTTCGTGCCTGTTGCGCTGGCTAGAACTCCCAGCACCATGTAGAATAGCAGTGGTGTGAATGGGCATCTCTGCCTCGTTTCAGATCTTAGGGGCAAAGCCTTCAGTCTTTCCCCAAAAAGTGCGATGTTAGCTGGAGGTATTTTGCACATGTTCTTTATCTAGTTGAGGAAGTTCTCTCTATTCCTAGTTTTCTGATACATTAAAGGAAAAGTTTCATGAGACTTAAAAAAACAAACAAACCATGAATGGGCATTGAATTTCTCCAAATACTTCCTTTTTACTGCATCAGTTGATAGGATCATATGATTGTTTTCTTTAGTCTGTCAATATGGTAGATCATGTTAATTGATTTTCAAATATTGAATTAGTATTGCATCCCTGGAGTAAATCCCACTTAGTCATGGTGTTTAACAATAGTCCTTTAAAACCTCCTTTTGTATAGTGCTGAATTCTATTTGCTAATATTTCGTTAAGGATACTGCATGTCAATTTTTAAAGGACTACTTCTGTCACCATCTTGGGTAATATGAGCTTTATACAATGGGTTGGGAAGCACTCCCTCATCTTCTGTTTTCTGGAAGAGACGATACAGGGTTTGTGTTAAGTCTTCTTTAAGTGTTTGAAAGAATTCTCTAGTGATACTCTCTGGGACGGGAGATTTCTTTTCTGGGAGTTTTTTCATTTTCCTAATAAGTCTATCCAAATGATCCCTTTCATATTAAAGTTGTGGTAGCTTTTTCAAGAAATTGGTCCGTTTCTTTTAAGTTGTCAAATTCATGTGTTTAGCGTTGTCCATGGTGTTCCCTCGTAATCGTTTTGCTGTCTGTAGGACCGATCCGAACAGCCCTGGTTCGTTTCTGACGTCGGTAACTTGTGTTGTCTTCCGTTTTACGTCAGTCCTGCTAGAGGTTTGTTTTATTGAACTTTTTGAAGAACCAACTTTTTGTTTGACAGTTTTTCTCTGTTATTTTTGTTCTCAATTACATCAGTTTTGCTTTTATCCTTATTTCCTTTATTTTTCTTGCTTTGGGCTTATTTTGGTTTTCTTCTTTTTGAAGTAGAACTTAGATTCTTTTCTTATGTAAACAACTTTTCCTTTCTGTACTTCTTTAACTTCATCCCATGAAATTTGGTTTGTTATATTTTCATTTTAATTCAGTTCAATGTATTTTTTTATTTCCCGTGAGATTTTTTTCTTTAACTCATGAATTATTTAGAAGTCTGTTTTGTAAAGGAACAGCACACACTGGGGCTTCTCTGAGGGTGGAGGGTGGGAGGAGGGAGAGGATCAGGAAAAATAACTAATGAGTACTAGGCTAATTACCTGGGCGCTGAAGTGATCTGCACAACAAAGTCCATGATGTGAGTTTGTATAAGAAACCTAGGCATGTACCCCTGAAGTTAAAAGTTTTTTTTTTTTTTTTTTTTTTAAATCTTGATCTCATAGAGAACTTTCATCTGAACAAGGACATGATTTTTCAACTGAGAAACACTACCAAAGTTTACTCTTAAAGAGGGAGATTAACCATTGTGTTTTAGGTTTTGAAATGGAATTGTTTCCAAATTTTGGCTTTTGTGAATAAAACTGCTGTGAACATTTCTGCACAAAAAAAAAAAAGAGAAGTGTGTTTTTAGTTTCCAAGTACTTGGACATTTTCCTATTATATGTTATGGATTTCTAGCCTGATTCTACCATGATCAGAGAATATACTCTATATGAGTTTAATTCTGTGTTTAAATGTGTTAATGTTTGATTTACCACCCAGGATATGGTCTGTCTTGGCAAATGCTCCACGTCACTTGAAAAGAGTGTGTATCCTGCTGTCAGTGGATGGACCGGATCCTGTTGTCTGATAGTGTTGTTCAGTTCTGTATCATTGCCTCCTTTCTGTCTAGTTTCCTATTGCTGATTTGGATAGATTGACAATCGATAGATTAAAAAATAGATTCTGACCCAAGAGAAGGGTGGAATATTTGGCCAGAAGGGAAGTGACGCGTAAGTTGCGGGTAGAGGTGCGCACTGGGCTTGTGGTGGCGGTAAGGGAAAGCGGGGATCGCAGCAGGTGCGCCGTGGGCAGGATGTGTCGGACCGTGGCTTGGGTCTCCTCCTCCAGCACTCACACTGCCCAGGCACACTGTCCCTCCATTTGTCCAAGCCCAGGACTCCAGAATGTCTGTAGCAGGGCCTAGAACTATGCTGCTTCCAACAGAACTTCAAAGTCCACGTGTGGCGTGTGGGAGACGTCGAAGATGCGTGTCTAGTGCAGTGCTGGAGAAGTCACAGCATCTTTCATGCCTCAGTTGCCTCCTGTGCAGTGAAGGAGAAGGACCAAAATTACTCTTAAGTCTCCTTCCAGCTTTAAAATATTTCTTCAGTGAGTGATATATCTAAGTTCACAGATTGAATTGTCACCACGGGTTTTGCCTCCTAATTATATAGAAAGTCTGTCCAGTGTGAAGAGTGTGCATTTACATGGAAAGGGATGCTTTAGCACATGATACTGATTTCCTCCTGGATTGTCAGACACTGTTCAGCCAGACGCAGAGATGCGCTAAGGCCAGCTGAAAGTTCTTGTATCCTGCGGTGGGCCACGGTGAAGCACCTTCCTCCTGGTGTCACTGGGCACCACATGGGTCCTCCCAGGCAGAAAATTGCACGTGGGGAGACAGTGGGTGAGCTCGGCTTCCACCCAGAGCTCTCTGGCTCTATGGCAAGATGCACTGCAAAGATTGCACTCTTCGTAGAAAACTCCAGGCAAGCCTCTTCAGAAATACTCTTTGCACTCCCACAATGCAGCACTTGCAAGAAGATACACTGTAGCAGGCAGGCATGGTTCACAGTCCTAGAGATTTTATTTTTTCATTGTGTACACAAGGAATCGTGAATTTCCC